ATTGAATATACCGTGGACTACCAGAAGAATGGAAACCCTGGTGGTGTAGTGGTTAAGAGCTATGGCTGTTAACCTAAAGGTTGGCAGTTCAAATCCACAAGTGCTTCTTGGAAACCCTATGGGGCAGTTCTACTCTATCCTATAGGGTTGTAATGAGTTGGAATCGACTCCACAGCAACGGGTTTAGTTTAGTTTTGTTTTTTTTTACCAGAAGAATGAACAAATCTCTCCTGAAAGAAGCACAGCCAGAATGCTTCTTAGAGGCGAGGATGGCGAGACTTCGTCTCACATACTTTGGACATGTTATCTGGAAGGACCAGTCCCTAGGGTAGGACATCATGCTTGATAAAGTAGAGGTTAATTGAAAAAGAGGAAGACCTTCAATGAAAAGGATTGACACAGTGGCTGCAACAATGGGCTCAAGAATGGCAACGATTGTGAGGATGGCACAGAACCGGGCAATGTTTTGTTCTGTTGTGCACGGGGTCACTATGATTCGGAATCGACTCAACGGCACCTAACAACAACAACATTTTATTCTCTCAGATGCTGTTGTAAATAGAATTGTTTCCCTAGTTTTCCTTTCAGATTTCTCATTTCTCATATATAGAAACCCAATTGATTTTTGTTTGTTGGCCTTGTATCCTGCAACTTGGCTAAATTCTCTGTTAGCTCCAGAAGTTTTCCTGTGGATCCTTTGGGATTTTCTATATAGATAGGTCGTATCATCTGTGAATAGAGATAATTTTCCTTCGTCTTTTCCATTCTTGTTACCTTTTATTTCTTTTTCTCGCTTTATTTCTCTGCCTGGGACTTCTATAAAGTCTGTTTTAAAGAAGAATGAAGATTGAGTCTAGGAAGGAATGGGAGAGACTCAAGCTGGGGACTTGGAAAGCAAAACGGGATCAACCCATAGAGAGAGAGACAGCCTTTGATGTCCTGACGATCCAGGACCGTGCCTTAAGGACCAGACTCTTAAATCACTTGGCATTTATTTGCCTCAGATGAAAAATACTTCTGTGGACCAGTGTCTGTGGTCTAACATGGCTAGAGTCCAAAATCAGTCTTAACTTTCTAAGGGTAACATTTGGAAGGCTCCCTGAAAGAATGAAATAGAGCCCGTTTCTAGAAGGGGCAGCTTAATGATTTTCTCCCTTCCGCCATCCCCAAATCTTTAAACAGTGTTCCTTTCCCAGAGCCCAAGTTCATGCTGAGGGCAAAGGGAATTAAGCGAAGAAGCTGAACCTGCAGCTAAGATTAGAGAGTTGCCAAGGGCCTAATTTTAGGTCTTCGCTGCCCCAGCTGACATCCTGCACTGCGGGCTCCAGCCAGGAGGACCACAAGTGTGGCCATAAGCCAGTGTCTGAGTGGCCATCTGCAAAAGCAATTAGCTTGCTGTTGGGTGTGTTTTGAGAGGGAATACCAATAATTTCTCCTTCAACAAATGTTTCTTCAGGTGTTCAAAAGTCAATAAGGGAACATGTCAGAGCTTGGCAGAAGTTCCCACATGCTTGCCATTCTAATATTCACGTTTCTCCACATAAGTGTGTGCTCCAAAAGGGAACTAATCCTGGCATTCCTGGTTTTTCATAGTAAGTAACCCCCTGACAAATTTCTTCTGCCTATAAGCTTACTGCCACAACTTAGAGAAAGTGCTGTTCAGAACTTGCCAGCTTCATGAAAACAGAAATGAATGGGTGAGACCAATTCTTTCATTTTGTGGGAATTTCTCTGCCACTGGGGTTTAGACTGTCCTTCCACTCTTCACATATCTCCCATCCACAGGTTTCATGATTTAATTGTCTTCTTCAGAGGGCAGACAATAATAGCTGGCATCTTCCAGATCAAAGGGGAAACAGAATATATTTTAAAGAGACAACTCTGTTATCCTGCAACCAGAATAATAAAATGTTATAAATATAAGGCCCTAAATGATTCCATACCAAAATGCCACTGGAGAGCAAAATTTCTTGCATAATTATGGCAGGGAAACTGTCCTTAAAAATCACTCACAAGAGCATGTCTTATTTTTGCACATTTCTTATGCCTGTGGCAGCCAACCACAGGGATGGAGATTCTGTGTCCCTGCAGTGATAACCCTCTGGTGCTCCCTGCCTGCATGGGAGGCTGTTAATTAAGGTGCATTGCCAGGAGCAATGAAAAAGCAGACTGGCATTGCCAGGCCAAGGGAATGCAACCCTTAGTAGACAGCATGCCCATGGTGAGGACCACTGTCGTGGAAGTGCACAAACTGGTCCCAGCTGCTTCTCCCTTCCTCTATTTTTCTTTCCAATTTTCCTGGCAGCTTTGCTTTCTGTCTACTTGTCCTGAGTTCTAACTGTTGGTCTGTCTCTGTACCTATCTCCCCCCCCCACCACCACCACCACACACGTACACCCAATACCTCCCCCGACCCCAATCTCTTGGCGCCGGCCCTTTCATCTTCTCCCGCAGGGATTCAGATTTGAGATGTCACTATAGGAAGTGCTTGTCGGCTGCAGCAGCAGCAGCAGAGCCCTGTGGCTTCGACAAACCTCATTTAATTGGGAGGAAGCCAGGAGAATTTGAAAGAACTGAAACATCCAGGAAACTCTTTTTATCAGGCATAATTTAAACTCTGCATGGAAAAACCCCTATATGTATAAAGAAAAGTCAACTTCCCTCCTGCTGTGAGCACTCCTCAGCTCCCCCCCAGCACAGGCAGGCTCCTGCAAGATTCCATCTTTTCATTTCTCTAAAAGTGTCAAAGTATATTTGGGCTCTGTGACTGGGAGAACAGAGAAGGAATACAGATCTTTCTCTCTCTCTCTCTCTCTTCTCATACCTGTGTGTGTATGCACACACACACACAAACACGCTCACCTAGACAGACATGCACCAGAGCCCCTCTGTTGGTGAATTTGCTTTGGGTCTGCCAGAAAGAATCAAAACCACACTTTCTAACAGCACGTCAGCTTGGACCGTGATTGTTTCTTCCTAATTACCCTTCAGGCAAAAGCTGGTGCCCAGAAAACTTTGATGATCAGCAGAGGTTCTCAATACCCAGAATAACAGATTCAGGAGACCGGCCTATGAGGGAAGTTTCTTTAAGAGAAGTGTGTGTGTGTGTGTGTGTGTGTGTGTGTGTGTGTGTGTGTGTGTGTGTGTGTGTGTGTGTGTCCAAGCTTCTATATTTACATGAAATGGTAGAGCTAGAAGTCCCAAGCCCAAAAGAAGAAAACTAAGAAGTAAGGGTGTAAGGACTCAGACTAGGAAGAGGGTGTTGGGGTGGGGGTGGGGGAGGGAATGGGGATGAAGTGAGGGCAGAGGTATCAGGGATGGAGAAAGAATTATAAGTCTGCAGTGTCTTTTATTCCACCAATAGGCCAAACTGTGTCCCTCCCCTCCTTCCAAATTCTGCTGCAGATTCACCTCCAGTCTAATCCATCTCACTTGAATTATTCTAGTCCCTCCAAAGCATTGCCTTTAGCACACACATCTTCTCTGGACATCTGCAGCTGATTATGCACAGATTTTAGTTGTTTAGATATGATTTGTGCTAATACGTGTACAAGGGTGCCCTGTTTCCTCTTCTTCACTCTCTTTTCCTCCCACTTCATAAGATCCTTGAGGCCAAGGCCAAGTCCCCTTTTCCTCAACTTTTTATAGCACTTAATATGTTCCTGACACTTAATGGCAACTTAATAAATACTGATGACTGACTTGTGTTACGGGGTTAAGTAAGACATTAACCCCAGCTGTATGATTATGGTGATATCTGAAGATTCTAAATGACTCAGTTTAAAAATAAAATACCTCAAGAAGTCCCAAACTGAGAGCTTTGGACCACTGCAGGACAATGTCCTAGACACCATACAGCCATGTTTACAAACCCTGGAACTTTTGACCACACTGTACATCTAAGCCTCTTGGGCAGTAGCTCCCCACCTCATCCCCACCCTCATCCTCATCCCATCACACCCTACCCTCATTTCCTCCCCCAATCCCATTCCAATACTCTCTGCCCAGTATGAGACCCTAGACCCTCCTTCTTTGCTTTCTTTTCTTGGGCTTAGGATTTCTAAACAGGGCTTCGAACCAGTTCATTCTAGCTTGAACCACTGCTGAGAATTTAATTTTCCACCCCAGATATACTGAATCTGAATCTACAGTTTCACAAGATCCCCAGGTGATTCTTATGTATATCCCGGGAACTTGTAGAAATGAAAATTTTCAGCAGGAGTTCAAACCAGAATGAATCAGTTCCAAGCCCTGCTTCTAAAAACTGCTTTCAGTCAAATGGTAGATGTTGCCAAGGAACCCCACCTAGAGATAGTACCCCTCAAGCAGCCTGGACATGCCCATATTGCCCACATCCTCCGCGTGACCCTTCCTGACCACAATCTGAGAAACATGAGACGTGCTCCCATCACATGATCCCTCAGCACATTTCAGATTTGGAGGATGACTTCAGGCCCAGACAGCAAAGCTGATTTCAGGGTAACTGTGTGTCCCCAGTGAGCATCCAGCCTGGGAAGATGCGCCCCTCCCCCAGGCTCCACCTGGGACTTCCTTCTGCAGTATCATATTACCAATCAAGACCAGCCCAGCTTTCCTCTCCTGACATATCTATGCCACCTATCATCTTACTCCCTATGGAAAGAGAATAGGGGTGGTTAGAAATTTGGTTCTGCTTCTCCTGGCAGATCTTAGCTAAAACAAACAAGTCCAAGGCAACTTTCATCTCTTCCGATTTCTAAGTGCAAGTGTGTGTAAATGAAATGTTTGGATTACTACAAGGAAGTCCTGTCACCTATCCCCACCAGGATTTTTGAGTTTTAGAGAATCATACAAAAGTCAAGCAAGACTGAGTTCCGTCTTGCTTCTCCCAGGCTAACTGATCTCTACACTTCTGGTTGTAAATTCTATGATTCTCCACTGTTCAGAGAAAACACTGACACACACACACACACACACACACCCGTGCACACACACACACACACACACATTCCCTTATTCACCATTGGGAAGCTGGTGCAGCTGAGATGGCAGGGCACTGAAATAATCGTGAACAAGTGCTTCCTGGGCGGAGACCCGGTCTCGAGGAAAGCCTTTCAGCATTTGGGAGGCCAAGTCTTCAGCTTCAGGAACCCTGCCCAACCTGGAAAAGTGAGAGAGAACAATAGTTTCTCCACAGGTCTCTCTTTTGAAAAATAAAGCAGGAGAGAAAAGAAAAGGAAAGGAAAGATGTGGTTAGATTTACAAGTGTGTTTCAAGTCGAATTTTCCTGGATTGCTAAAATTAATGGCAGGTGGGAAAATTACCCCCCACAGTGAAATTCTTACCTGTCCTGTAACTAAGATGAAGGGGGACAATCTCAGCATTCTATTATTTCGCTCCCCTGCCCCCCACTGTGTCTCTGGGCACCATGTGTACATAAAGGACACAGAATTATAATTATAGACACAGAAACACATAATTAAAGATTCTTCTTTGAGGGACACAGCAGCCCCAACCAAGCAGAAAAGCCCAATTAAAAACAGCCTCTAGGCTCTGGACTTCAAGAGCCACAAGCATAGAAAGACTGTGGGGAAGAGGAGAGGAAGGAGATTCTGGGGGTGAAGTCTAGGTGGAAAATACCCTTATTTGCATTGTTTTTGAAACTCAGCCTCCAGAGTTATTAGCTGAGTCGCTGTCTTGGTTTATCTCTCTTGAGAGAAAGCATAGGAAGAAAGATCACTTAATTAAGTACTCAAATCACAATCGGGACAAGGTGGCTTTATGTTGAGTTATATATTTGGAGATGAGCAAATCTATTTATTGAGAAACTACTATGTGCTAGTATGTGGTTGGCCCTTGGAAATACAGGACAAGACTCTGCCTCTGACAGCTTACAGTCTAGTAGGGGAGTCAGACATTAATTAAAGTAGCATACAAATTCATAAGTACAGCTGTGAATAAAAAGCCCTGGAACCTGACTTGGAATGGGAGGAAGTGGTCTGGGAAGGCTTTCCTGAGGAAGTGCCACTTCAGCTGAGAGCTGAAGGACTGAGAGCAGGGGAAGAATAGGTATTGCAGGCAGAGGTCTATGGTGCTCATCCAGACCCTGGGGTGGGAGGGAGAAGCATGAGTTTAAAGAAGGGAATAAGGGAATAAAGGTCAGTTGATTGGCCAGGGATAAAGACGAGGAGAGGGGTCTGAATCAAAGCTGGGGAGAGCAGCAGGGGTCAATCCTGGAGTGCCTTGTGGGTCTCCATGCTTCCTATTTACTTGTAATGTTAGAAAGTATTTGCTAATCTTGTGCCAATCATGTAAGTATAACCATCTCTGCAGTCCACAGACAAGTTTGTAAGAGGAAAGCCAAGAGAGGGAAAAATGTGCAGATCCCCGGAGGTAATTAACCGTAAGACTGATGTTTGACGTTCAGAATCAAATTGCATGACCAAGATGTCCTTCAATAGGTAAATGGGCCAACAAACTGCAGTACATCCATTCAATAGAGTATTATTTGGTGGAGAAAAGAAATGAGCTATCAAGCTACAAAAGGACATGGAGGAATCTTAAATGCATATTGCTAAGTTTGCAATTGAAAGACATTCAGTTGTGTGGATCATAACAAATTATGGATAATATTGGAAAGAATGGGAATTCCAGAACCCTTAACTATGCTCATGAGGAACCTGAACATAGACCAAGAGGCAGTCATTCAAATGGAACAAGGGGAAACTGCATGGTTTAAAATCTGGAAAGGTGAGTGTCAGGGTTGTACCCTTTCACCATACTTATTCAATCTGTATGCTGAGCAAATAATTGAGAAGTTGGACTATATGCAGACGGATGAGGCATCAGGATTGGAGGAAGACTCATTAACAATCTACGATATGCAGATAGCGCAACCTTGCTTGCTGAAAGTGAAGAGGACTTGAAGTACATACTGACAAAGATCAATGACTACAGCCTTCAGTTTGGATTACACCTCAGCTTTAAATAAAGAAAACAAAAATCCTCACAACTGGACCAATAAGTGCATCATAATTAGTGGAGAACAGGCTGAAGTGGTCAAGGATTTCATTTTACTTGGATCCACTATCAACGCCCTTGGGAGCTGCAGTCAAGAAATCAAATGACGTATTGCCTTGGGCAAATCTACTGCAAAAGACCTCTTTAAAGTGTTCAAAAGCAAAAATGTCACTTTGAGGACTAAGGTGTGCCTGACCCAAGCCATGGTATTTTCAGGTGCCTCATATGGATGTGAAAGCTGGACAACGGAATAAGGAAGACTGAAGAAGAATTGATGCCTTTGAATTACGGGGTTGGTGAAAACTATGGAACATACCAGGGACTGCCAAAAGAATGAACAAGTCTGTTTTCGTAGAAGTACAGCCAGAATGTTCCTTTAAAGTGAGGATGGGGAGACTTCATCTCACATACTTTGGACATGTTATCAGGAAGGACCAGTCCCTGGGGAAGGACATCCTGCTTGGTAACGTAGAGGGTCAGTGAAAAAGAGGAAGACACTCAACGAGATGGATTGACATAGTGGCTGCAACAATGGGCTCAAATACAGCAATGACTGTGAAGATGGCGCAGGACCAGGCAATGTTTTGTTCTATTGTATACAGGGTTGCTATGAGTCGGAACCAACTCAACGGCACCTAACAACAACAACAACAATTACTGAAAGAAGCAAGTCCAAGAAGCTACATATCGTATGTTTCCAACTATAAGATATACTGGAAAAGGCAGAACTATAGAGACAGTGAAAAGATCAGTAGCTGCAGGGTCTCAGGGGGAGGGAGGAAGGGATGAACAGGTGGAACACAGGGCATTTTTAAGGCAGCGAAACTTTTCTGTGTGATACCGTGATGGTGGCTATATGACATTATGCATTTGTCAAAACCCATAGGACTGTACAATGCAAAGAATGAACCCTAATGTAAACTATGGTCTTTAGTTAACAATAATGTATCAATACTGGTTCATCAGTTGTAACAAATATAACACAGGAATGCAAGATGTTAGTAATAGGAGAAACAGTATGCAGTTGGAGAGCAGGTACATAGGAGCTTTGTACTTTCTGTACAATTTTTCTGTAAAGCTAAAACTGCCCTAAAACCTAAATCAAGTCTAAGGGAAAAAAATTAAGTTGCCTGGTCATGGAATACCTTATCAAATCCCCAAATAAGCAAAAATCGTGGGTTTCCTTCAAGTCCAATACTCATGATAATTTAAAGCAAGAACGAGCAGATACCTGTTTCCTTTCCAGGAGCCACGATGCAGAGATGCTGGAAGTCTTGGCCCAGAGTTGTAATTTGCATAATCTTTGCATACAATTTACATAAGAGACTTTTTCAGCTACCTGATTCCCATGACATAAAACCCTTTCTGCGCACAGATAACTCCCCTCAAACCCAGGAATAATTGCTACACAGACTTAAGGTAAAGGAGAAATGTGCAAATCCTCAGTGCTGTCTTCCAGGCCAGTTAGGAGAGAAGGAACCCAGGGCAGAATTCTCTCATGAGCTCCTGGCCTGAAGAAGGGCCAGCAGGGATTTTCTCCATCCAGAGTGCACTTGGTCTCCCCTTTATGCCTAAACGTTTACTAGCAGCACAGGTGGGGCCACCAGGTGTGGGCCTTTGGCAAGGTCCTTATAATCTCCACCTTGCTAATAACACATTGCACTCTTATTTGGGAGCTGAGAAAACAGGCCAGGAATGCAAATACTGCCTCTTTGGGCACAAATGTTCATGTCCTGACCCTTTCCGTGTTTGTAACATTCTGCTTCTTCTGCGGTGGAGATTCTTGCTTACTATCCATTGCCTTTACAGTCACAGTTCCACAATTTGCAGCCTCCTGTAACTCTACTTAGAACAATTCTTCACATGCTGCTTGAAACTCCTAATTTGGAAATGAAAAGTGAACATTGCAAACATTAATTTGCCTACCAGCACCTTTCTATATACGCCAAATGTTAATAAATATTATTTGTTTGGTTTGGGATGTTAACTACTGAACTTGCCAGGAGTATCTTGCAGGATTAAAAGAATCCACCCAATTAGTGAGATTCTGTTACTAAAGATAAACGGCCCAGTGGTGAACCACTCCTCCAAGTAACATTTCAAGTAGGGAGAAGTGTTCCGTTGCCAAAATAATACACATTTATTGTAGAACACTTAGAAAACGCAGAGAAAGAAAATCAAAACTATTCCGTAGCTCTGAAATAACCCCATCACTCAATGATAATCACCACTGCTTTGCTGTTCTTTTTTAGTCCTTTCTCTGAAACTACATTCTCAACTGTATTTTTTGTTTTACAAAATAGTGGTATTATACTGTATGTGTTGTTGTAACCGCTTTTTTCCACTTGACTATCTTGATCATCTTTCCATATTATGAGTAGCCTCCTAGGACATAATGTTAATGGCTGCATAGAATTCCGTTATGTGGGCATACCACAATTTACATACCTGGAACCTTAAGTTGTTACCTTTTTTGTTGGGGTGGGGGGAGTATTATTAAAATCATGCTGTGACAAATGTCCTCAAAGAGAAATCTTTGTATACTTGTGCAATTACTTCCTTAGGATACATTCTCAGAATCAAAATTCCTAGGTCGAAGGGCATATAACTTGTTAAAATTTTGATTCATAGTATCAGCTAGACGAGCTGTCTCAATTTCCATTGGTACATGTAGAGCAGCATGGGAGAGTGCCTGTCCCTGGGTACAGGGCTAAGATTCATTCCAGCTGACCTGAATTGCCACAGTTCCCACTGCTTATAAAAGTCCTAAAAAGGATTGAAATTGTACATTGATCTTAAAAGTTGTGCTGGGTGAGAATGACATCTGCATTTAATTTTAGAAGTCCAGAATAGAAACATACACAATAAAAAAGTGAAAATCAGATTTGGTGATCTTGTAAAGCAACATCCGGTAACTCATCACTGAACATATCTAAAAACCTGGTGGTTCTCAGGGCCTAAGGGGATAGTCTTGATTTCTTAGCACAGCCTAGCTCCAAATCTAAAAAATCCCTCCCCCATTGCTGCCATCAACCTTCACCATGCAAGGGTCTTATCTGTTTGCAATACGAGGCTGGTCACTATGGGCTCCACTGAGTTCTTTGTGTTTTTCACCTAGATTTACAGTAAGAGAAAAAGGGCAGGGGTAGAGAGTAGGCACTTTTTTTTTTTTTAATACCGTCTGTTTAGGATGTGGTCAAGTAGATGTCCACCATAAAAAATATGAAACAGCATCTGAGAAGCTATGCTACAATTTGTCAATCAAGATGAAAAGTAAGTGCACACTTCATGGGCCCACATGATTCAGGTCACCATCAAACCCTAGGCAAGGCCTGAGATGCGTTTACAGCTCTGTGCATGGTTCCATTACACCTCTGCAGGAATCTTGCAGAAAAGCCAGTGACACCTTGGCTGGTCTTTGACTCACCACATTTGCAATCTGATTGAATTGACAAAGCCATAGAGACCTCTACCAAATGAATCCTGGCCCCACAACTTACTAGCTAGACAAGCTTAGACAAGTTACTTAAGTTCATTGAGCCTCAGTTTCCTCATATCTGAAGTAGGAATCAGATTTGTGAGGATTAAATGAAGCAACTTATGCAGCACACTGTTAACCACATCTTTCAATATTAATTCTCTTCTTTCAATGACAAAATGCTTCCTAGAGCCAAGAATTTTCTCATGTGAGAATCTAGGCCAGTACTGTCCAGGAGAATTTTCTATGATGATGGAAATGTTCTATAGCTCCACTGTCCAATATGGCAGCCACTGCTCACATATGGTTACTGAGGGTTAGTGCAACTGAGCAACTGAATTTTTAATTTAAATATAAATTTAAATAACTACATGTATTAGACAGCACAGCTTTAGCCATTACTCCATGTTTGAGAATCTAAGCAGAGAAGCCAAAAGTCTGGGGAAAGGCACACAGAGATTGTTGTGGGCAAGGGAGCTGCAGGGGTGATGGCTGTTGTGTGGGAGCAAGAAAGTCAGAGGAATATTCAGCAAGTTCAAGTCCTGCTCAGCCCTAGAAGAAAGGTCAGGTGGGGCCATAGCAGGAGGCTGGTGGCACCATCATCTGCCATGTGACAGTGGTGGCAGCAGCAATATAGGTGTTAAGGTGCTTTGCTGGTTTGGAGTTACCATTTGCTTTGGAACCCAGTAGTGAAATGATAGAAAGCCACAGGGCACTGCTAATATCTCTAGCGAGGGGTTAGGGGGCCTAGCAATGAGAACAAGAGAAAGTTTGCACCTCTTGAATGAAATAATAAATAGCAGTTCCCAGGAACCCGTCTTCCAAAATAAGGAGGAGTTTCAGGTTATACCGTACTTTTGAAAATAAGAGTGGATGTACAGATGTCCTGGGGAGAACTGTCCCTCCCCATAAAAGACCCTTTGATAGCCATACTTCTGTGTTCCTAGCTCACTTTACTGTTTAGACCCTGATGTTCAGTTTACTTTGAGGTTTTTTAAAGAGTATGAACAGCAAGTATAGAAAAATCAAACGAAATATTGTTAGGTTAAACGATACCACGTTTTCAGTGAAGGACAACGTTCAAATGATCAGTTAGGACCTTGGCCAGTGAAGCTTTCTTCCATTTCTCCCCACCTGTGAGAGTGTGTTTTTCTTTGACATTTGAGCTCGTTTCCCCTGTCTCTGATGTTTTCCTCGCTGCCCTTTTCGCCTCCTCACTGAAGCAAAAAGAACAGAGCCTCGGCTAATTACTCTCAGATCAAATAATACTGGTTATTGTAATTGGTCATTGTCCGAAAACACAGAGTTCTTCTTAGCCCTGAGGTTGCCTGGCACAGCTTAGTTAGCTAACTATTCCGGGAATGTCTCTATTATCTGTTTTACTTTGCAAAAGAAACTAGGGATTTGTTGAAAGCTGGTAATAAAAGTCTGCCCTGGTCTGAGCTGAGACTGCGTAGAGAGGGCCTGGGAAAGCATGACCTCCATGAATCAAGCCGCCCCCCTTTCCAATAGCCACTCAATGGTGTTATTTGGTTTCTCTGTGTCAGAGAATAATAAACCCACTAGGTTTTCTTGCAGGCCAACACTCCCTCATTCTCAGGACCTGGGGCATGGTTGAGGGGCACAAAACAGTTTTAATGACTAAACTCACTGAAAGTAAAATGGTGCGCAGAGAAAAACTAACAGAATCACAGGTGGCTCACTGGCTCTCCCAGTGGCCTCTGTCTGAGGCTTGCTCAGTGGACTGAGATTCAGGGAAATGCCCCTTCCAAGCCGCTTAAAGATAAGCTCCCCAAGGTGCTTACCTGTTCCAGATCATCTGAAGGCTTTGGGGCTTAGGCAGTGGGAACCACTCTGGGAAAGCATACACAAAAACACAATGAACATAATTAATATCACGGAACTGTACATGTGAAGATTATTATAGAAATGGCAAATGTTTTGTTACCTATATATTTACCACACACACACACACACACACATAAATAATCCTAAAATCTTGTTGCTAACAATATTATTAAAATCTAAGTGCTCTTCTTGGCTGAGAGTAAAAGAGGAGTCAAGTATCAGGTGGGTAGGCAAACTAGATTTTTTTTTTTTTTTTTGAACTAGATTTTTAAGGGCCCTTCTCATTGTAAATTTTTATGATTCTATAGGATGTCATGAAAAGTAGAAAGTCAACAAATATTTATTTAACGTCTACTGTGTGAGAAAGATGTGATAGTCTGCTTCTGTAAAGATTTATAGCCTTGGAAACCCTATGGGGCAGTTTCTACTCTGACCTATAGGGTCACTATGAGTCGGAAGCAGCTTGATGGCAATGGGCTTGGTTTGAGTGTGCAGAGCATGTACCAAGTGCTGTGGAGGACACAAAAGCACTCCAAACAAACCTCCCCACCCTTGCAGAGCTCACAATTCATTTGGGAGAACAAAGCACACATGCATGAAAAGTCATGTGACGGATGGCAGGGCAAAGTCTCAAAAGTCTAATAAGTGGTAAAAAGTAACAGGATTGAGTTTACATGCCACTTGTGGTAAAAATGGAAGTGGACCCTGGCTTGAATAATCCAAAATGGATGATAATAAAATATTATCATTTTATTTGGAGCACTCTTGATAACATTTATATTCCGATACAGGTGTTTCTATTATTCTTGATATTGACACTATTTAACCCAAAATAAAACCACCATGAAAGGAGACAATTTCTCATTCATTTAAGAAATACTAATTGAATGCTTATTTTATAGAAGGGCCACAAAGGGAGCTTTGGGGGATATAAGAAGTTATGGGACGATGCTCCCTATCAAATCCCTTCTACTCCCATTCCGCATTGAGAAAGGAGTATTTCAACTCTCATTTAAAATGATATTTCTGCCTTATATCCTTCTTGGGCCTGAAATGTTAATTTTGGGGTTTTAAAGATCTCTTCTTCCGGCTCCTATAGAAATGGGATAAACCAAGGTTGTTTACCAGAACAAAACATTTAATCATATTTGGGCAAAAATTATTTTGATAATACTGACACATACATTTGTGTGCATAAAAAACTAGTCACCAAGTTGTTGATAGTAATTACAAAGACTTACTCTTTTTACTTCCATGTCATTTTCTTAAATTTATTTATTTATTTTTCAATATAAAAAGCGTGTATTATTTTTATAACTTCAAAAGTTAAGTTTAAATAGACCAAAGTCATTACTGGTTACCAGAGATGGTGAGAGGAGAGGACAGGGGATACTGCTTCAGGTACAGAGTTTTTGTTAAAGGCAATGGAAAAATCTGGAAATGGACAATGGTGATTATTGTACAACAAGGTCAATGTAATTAATGTCACTGAATGTACTGTAAAAATGGTTGGCATGTTTTGTTACATATAGTTCACCAAAAAAAATTTTTTTTTAAGTAAGTTCAGTTAAAAGTTGAATTTATAGTGCTAAGAGTAGTAGAGTTAAAGGAGCGATCAAAGAAAGTGATATAAGTTGAGTTCTCGAGGTCAAATGCAATCACGCTTGCACTACTCTGCTGGCATTTTATAGTCCCAGGTGGGCACTAAGGCAAGCACTTGTACATACAGGTGACTTACTCTCTGTTCAGTATGATTGTGCCTAAATTCAAATAAGCAGTAAAGATAATACCTGGCATTTCTTTAGTATGTTTATTTCCAAATCACTTTCTTAGGTATTGCTTTGCTTCTTCCCCTCACAGGTTTGTTTTACAAAGAAAGGTGTTTACATGTTGCCTGTTTACAGTTCTTCCCTGGCCAAGCAAAATTAAAATGTTTCTTCATTCAGTCATAGCCTATTTTCCAATAAACATAATGAAACCCATTTCAGTCTCTCCCAGTTTCTGTTTTTCCCTTCTTAGAGCCCTATGTGCCGTGTTTTTTTTTTCTTTTGGTCTTAACTATTTTTAAAATAATTTATTTTATTTTGCTGTTGTTGAGAATATGCATAGCAGAACATATAACAATTCAACAATTCTGTGTGTACATTTCAGTGACATTGATTACATTCTTTGAGTTGTGCAACCATTCTCACTCTCCTTTTCTGAATTGTTTCTCCCCATTAACTTAAACTCACTGCCTCTAAATTTCCTATCTAATCTTTCAAGTTGCTGTTGCCCATTTAATCCCATATAGATAATTCTTTAAAAAAGCACAATGCTCAACGGCCTTTAGTATTTTAATACTATTCCTAATTTTAGAGTCATACTTCTGGTAGAACAATAGAAAGAGCATAGGTTTGGAGTCAGCTGAATTTGGCTTTGAATACTGACTCCACTGCTTGAGTTTCATGGTGACCTGAAGCGAGGTATTTTAACCCCGGTGAACCTCAGTTTCCTTAACTCAAATTGGAGGTCATATTCATCTCACAAGGACACTAAAGTGATTCATTGAGATAATGAATGTAAAGTGCTTGCTTCTGAGCATGTAACAAAATACTATTTGTCTCTTCTTCCTCTTTCTCTTCCTTTGAACTGTGATGGGCAGTCTGGACAGTGTGTGGTTAGGTACTCACACCCTAGACCTTAGGTTTGAATTTGGGCTCTGCACGTACTAGCTGTGTGACCTGAGGGTATTGTTTAACCTCAGTGGGTGTCAGTTTTCCCATCTGCAGAAGGGGAATAATTCTAGTCCCCTTAGAGGGTGGTTGTGAGAATTCGGATACTGAGTGTTTCCTCACACTTTGCCTCCTTCCTTTCTGCCTGTTTCCCTTGTCTGATGTACCTTATCAAATCCCTTCTACTCCCCACTCCAAATTGAGAAAAAAAAACAAAAACCTAACCAAACCCACTGCCATCAAGTTGATTTTGATTCATAGCAACCCTACAGGACTGAGTAGAACTGCTCCATAGGGTTTCTAAGGAGCACCTGGTGGACTCAGACTGCCAACGTTTTGGTTTGTAGCCAAGCTCTTAACCATTGCACCACCTATCTCAATTCTCACTTAAAATGATATTTCTGCCTTATACCCTCTCCCCTTCTACCACTTATCTTCTCTTTGTCCTCTCTAGATATTTCGGCCTTTTTGTTCTCCTTGAAACCTTCTATACATACTGTTTCCTTCTACTGAAATTCTAACTTGCTCCAAGCACGAGTTCTTACAAGCCTGGCTGGGTTTCTTTTGAGCCCTCAGCATGGGCCAAAGACATGGCTCCAAGCTCTGTGGTGTGGTATAGTAACGTGAACATGCCTGGGCTCAAATCTCTTTTCTGCCACGTAAAAACTCTAGGACTTTGGGGAAATTACTTAACCTCTCTGCTTAAGTAACTGAGAAATTTCCAAACCTGTAAAATAGAAATAATTTTCCAGTTGCTGGGAGGATTAAATAAAATTAAGCACTTGATATGTAAAGGGGCTCAATACGTATTAGTCTTACTCCTTTTTTTTCCCTCTTGTTTTTGTCTCTCGTTTTGGAGAGGCAGCATGTTCTAACACAGTGGTTCTGAAGCCTGGCTACATATTATTATCACCTAGGGAGCTTTTAAAAGAAAGGAAACCCTGGCTCCACCCCCTAGAGAGTCTCATTCAACTAGTCTGGGGAGGGCATCTAGGTATTGATTAGTTGTTGTGTGTTACGGTTGTTTTAAATGGTCTCCAGATGTTCCTAGTGTGAAGCTAAGGCTGACGATCTCTGGTCTAGCAAAGAGGGCAGGGTCTACCACTCACCAGCAACTTGCCCCACACCTCTTGAAGCTCATTTCCTCATCTATAATAGCTCAGGTGAGGTTGGTGAGAATCTAATTCATCAATGTAAATACAATTGTAGAACACGGTGTCTGCCACATACTTAATACATTGTTAAAGGATGAGAGACAGGAAGCACGACAAGGGAAAATCAGTTCTCATAAATCCTACCAGAAACGGATGACCTGAAAGAGCTGACCCAGGAGCAACAACAACATTTTGTGTCTGAGGTTCCAGATCTTAAGCAGACTGATTGTGCCCAACTTTTTCCCGCACCAATTTTGTAGCTACCTTAGCTGAGAAGTAACCTGGTGGCTAAGTTGGTTGAGCGTTTGGCTGCTAACCAAAAGGTCAGCAGTTCGAATTTACCAGCTGCTCCTTGGAAACCTTATGGGTTTCTATAAGTCAGAGTCAACCAGAGGGCACGCAACAACTTTATGGAAACTTTGGTGGCATAGTGGTTGAGACCTACAGCTGCTGACCAGAAGGTTGGCAGTTCGAATCCACCAGGCGCTCCTTGGAAACCCTACAGGGCAGTTCTACTCTGTCCTATAGGGTTGCTATGAGTCAGAATTGACTCCACAGCAACGGGTTAGCTGAGATAGAGGAACTGATATGTCCAGGATCAGTCAGGGAGCCCTTATGAAGCAGAGTCAAAGCCCAAAGCCTAAGTGTGGCCTACCCTCCCACTCTGATGCAGATAACCTGATGCTGAGTGACCTTGCCTCTCTGGCATTGATTTTTCCCAGCAGTTAAACTGCTAGTGATCAATGAGAGCATGATCCACAAACGGGCGTTTTAACAGCACCATTTAAAAATGAGTCTGTTTCTCTGGTTTCAACGGCCTCTAAAAATAATAGGTCTGGAGCTAGCTTGTTTCCCTTCTTCCTGCAAAGATTATAGTAAATCATTAGACCAGATTTCTCTTTGTCTCCACCCTCTGCAGTTCTCTTTAAAAGAGTTGCCATTTGATTTCAATTGGAATTCGAGGCAAGAAAGACAAAGTAAGTTGCAAAAGGAAACATAAAAAGGCAGAAAGTTTAATTTGCAAACTAAATGAAGTAAAATTAAAATGAAGGCAGAACTGTTGCTACCATAGTAAAAGAATCCATTTTTCATAAATGTTTAATAAAGCGTACTTCACGACTGATTCCAGTACGGTAAC